TTTTACAACGTAATATATTGTCTATCCTGGCAAATGTTCCATGTGAACTGAAAAGAATACATAGTCTGCTCTTGTTGGGTAGAGTGTTCTGTAGATGTGTGCTGGGTCTAATTAGTATATAGTATTATTTGAGTCTTCTATTTGCTGATTTTCTAACTAGTCTTAGAAGTTGAGTATTGAAATCCCAACTATTATAGTTGAATTCTCTCTTTATACCTTCAGGTCTCTCTGTCAGTTTTTGCTTTATTTATTCTGGGGCTCTGTTGTTAGGTGTATATTTGTTTACAATTGTTATATGTTCTTGATAATGTTTTTCTTTGTCTCATATAATAATTTTGGTCTTAAAGTCTGTTTTGCCTATTATTAGATCATTATCTAATTCTGATTAATATCTACTACCACTTCAGCTCTCTTGTGAGTACGGTTTGCATGATAAAACTTCCCTCTTTTTCTTTTAAACCTATATATACCTCTGAATCTAATTGTATTGTAGACAGTATATAGTTGAATCATGTGTTTTAATACATTTTGCTAACCTCTGCCCTTTATTTGGAGAGTTTAACCCATTCACATGTAACTGACAATAAGAAGTTCTTTTGCAATTTTGGTTTTTTTAGTTTTTTTTTTTTTTGGTCTTTTGTTTCTCAAGGTCCTCCATTAGTGTCCTTTATTTAGTATTAGGTTTATTTTGTTGTACCGTTTTTTTTTTAGATTTTTTTTAAAGATTTTATTTATTTATTTTGACAGAGAGAGAGACAGCGAGAGAGGGAACACAAGCAGGGGGGGATGGAAGAGGGTGAAGCAGACTTCCCGCCGAGCAGAGAGCCTGATGCGGGGCTCAGTCCCAGGACCCTGGGATCATGACCTGAGCCGAAGGCAGACGCTTAACGACTGAGCCACCCAGGCGCCCCTTGTTGTACCGTTTTAATTCCCTTGTTGTTTCTTGTAGTAAATATTTTGAATTATACTCTTAGTGGTTGTCCTGAGGAAAACCATTAATTAACAAGTTCAGATTGGATGTCAACTTAATTTCAAGAGTATACCAACTTTGCTGTTATGTATCTCTGTTCTCATCCCGATATTCTGACCAAATCAGCTGGCATTTTGATCTTGGACTTCCCAGCCTCCAGAAATTGTAATACATTTTTATTGTTTTAGCTGCCAACCCTAGTATTTTGTTCTAGTAGCACAAGCAGACTAAGACCAATGTCCATGGTACTGATTTGGCTGTTAATGTTATTGAGGACCCTTTACATGACAAGGCACTTTTTTCCTGCTGCTTTCAAGATCATCTCTTTGTTTCTATCTTTGAGTTTGATTTTGCTGTGTCTAGTTTGGATCTCTGAATTGATCTTACTTGGGGTTTGTTTTCATCAAAGTAGAGAAGCCTTTGGCATTTATGTTTTCAAATATTCATTCTACCCCTTTCTCTCCTCTTCTCTCCTCCTGGGACTCCTCTTATGTGTATTTTGGTAGGCCTCTGAGGGGGGTTCATTTTCTTCATTCTTTTTACTTTGTTTCTTATACTGTGTAATATGAATTGACCTATTATCTTCAAGTTAGCTAATTCTTTCTTCTGCGTATTCACATCCACCATTGAGCCCTCATTTCAATGTTGTATACTTTTCAACTCCAAAATACTTCTTTGGTTCCGTTTTGTAATTTCTGTCTTTTGATAATTCTCTATTTGATGTGATACTGTTCTCATAGTATACATAGTATACTTCAGTTTTTTAGACATCATTTCCTTGTTGAACATACATAAAGTCTAGGATGCCCAGAAGTCTAGGACTTCTTCATGCATAGTTTCTGTTGATTTTTTTCCTCCTGTGTGTGGGTTATACTTTCTTAATTTTTGCATGCTTTATAATTTTTTGTTGAAAACTGTTGACTATTATAATGTGGTAAATCTGGAAATCAGATTCCCTCTTTTCCCAGAATTTGTTGTGGCAGCTTTTAGTATTTGTTATTTCTTTCTTTTTTCTTTTTTAAGATTTTATTTTTAAGTAATCTCTGCATCCAATGTGGGGCTCAAACTCAACAACCTTGACATCAAGAGTCACATGCTCTACTGACTGAGCCAGCCAGGCCTCCTCTGTTATTTTTCTTTAGTGGCTTTTCTGAACAAATGATTTCTTTGTCATATATAGCCACTGAAGTCTCTCTTCTGTTAGCTTAGTGGTCAGTTAATGATTGAACAGGTAGTTTATAAAATGTCTGGAACCCAAATGTTTTCCAGTGTTGATCATAGGGCTCTGTGTAGGTATTGGGACATACCTTTAACACTTAGCTGGGCAGTTTTAAACTGTATCTAGCTTTCAATTCCTGTTTATGAAGAGCCTTAAGGTCAGCAGGTGGTAAGCTTAGGGCGATCTCAGATCTTTCCTAAGGATGTGTGTCCTTTTTGGATTTTCAGGGATATTTTGGAGCTTTTTTTTTTCCCCAAAATGCTTTGCTGTTTAATTCAGTAACAAAATAATTCACATTTCACTATGCTTTCAAAGCATGACATTTGAAGTCCATTTTATCTTCCTTTGACATATGCATTGGTAATAAAAAATAAAATGTCATGGTATGGCAGTATGCGTGGCACTCAAAATTCTGTCAGGTTATAACCCTATCAGTGTGATTCACAGGGTTATGGAGCAGCAGTGGGAATCAGTTAAAATACCACATATGATGGGGTGCCTAGGTGGCTCAGTCAGTTAAGCGACTGCCTTCGGCTCAGGTCATGATCCCAGGGTCCTGGGATCGAGCCCCGCATCGGTCTCCCTGCTCAGTGGGGAGCCTGCTTCTCCCTCTCCCTCTGCCTGCCACTCCCCCTGCTTGTGCTCTCTATCTTTCTGACAAATAAATAAATAAAATCTTAAAAAAATATATATATCATATGATCTCTCATCACAATTCACCTCTTCCATGTTGAGCAAAAGCAGTCATAGTCAATGCATAAGTGATGAGCATGACTGTTGTTCTAGTAAAGCATTATTCGTGGGCACTGAAATTTGAATTGAACATAATTTTCATATGTCATGAAATATTCTTTTGGCTTTTCTTTACTGAAGCTTTTCAGAGCCCTTAGGGACATCTCTACCTAACCTTCCTCCCCACCGCCCCCAGGAAGCAGCTTTATCCTTTATCACTAGGGCCTTTTCAGTTTAGGTGAAATATGTACAAGGCCAGTCTTCCAGGGAGCCACCAAACAGATCAGGACAAATAATTAATTATAGTTCTCCATGAATGAGATCTGTTCCATTTGGTACCAGGAATGGTGGGCTGTTTTCACAGCTCCCACTGAGACTGGGAGTATGGGATGGGACTGGAGTAGGATAAAACAGCACAAAGTTCACTGTTCTCATTAGGAATAATCTCTTGCTTTGAATAAGCATTCCCAGGTAACTGCAAGCTTTAGGTTAATTTTGGAGTTCCAAAAAAACATTGATTCTAGTAATTGTTGCTCATTTTTATTTATTGCTTTTATGGAGGAGAGAATTCAGATTTCTTGCCTTTTTCACTTACGTCACTGTCAGTCTGTCTTAATTTTAATCCAATTTGGCTTTCAGTTGGGGTGTTTGGACCATTTACATTTAATGTGATTAATGATATTTTTGGTTTTAAATTTCCTATCTTTCTATTTTCTATTTGTTCAATCTGTTCTCATTTTCTTCTTTTTCTGCCTTCTTTTGTATTGGTCATTTTTTAGATTCCATTTTATTTATTTGAGTGACTGTAATTGTATTATGTTGTTTTAGTGGTTGCTTTAAGTTTTATAGCGTACATCTTTAACTTATAGTCCACATCAAGCGATATATACTTCATGTGTTAATGACTGCTCTTTGTGCTGTTACTGTGATACGTCTTTGACATATGTTAAAAATCTCAGAATACTGCCAGTCTAATCAGGGAAGAAAATGTTTAGGATTCATCCATAAGCTTGTGTTTGCTTTGCATATAGAAGATAGATATATAAGAGAAAAGTGATGTTATCCAGAGTCCTGATATGTGGTAGAAGATCAGAACACCAAATTTGAAACCCTGTGTGACCCCTCTAGTCATTTGGATTTGGGCAACTGGATAACTCTCAGTGGAGATAAGTGCGCATCACCTATAGAGGGTGTGTGTGTGTGTGTGTGTGTGTGTACCTATGCACGTATGTGCGTTTTAAGGTACACTTTTTAATTTTCAATAAACTCATCAAAATTTTGGTGGAGAGTAGATTTAAACAGAAGTTTGTTTTAGTTAAAATCTTTCTGGTTATAATCATTAAAACCCCACACAAATAAGCTCAAACAAAAACGGGAGGTGTTTTTTTTGTTTGTTTGTTTGTTTTTTATAAGGAACTACTTACTGTCTTTCATAGAACCTAAAGGCAGGGTGCTTTTGGTTCAGGAAAAACTGGCTCGATTGCTCTGATGTTCCATTGTCTTTCCTCTTTGCTGTTACCTGCAAATCTTTTTCTCTACAGACTATTTTTTTCTCATTCTAAGTCTTGTGACTTTCTACAGCACTTGAGTTTATGAAGCTTGGATATTTTTGGATTTAGTCCTTCGGGATGAAACTCAGTCTCAGTTTAGGTGTATTGTCTCAACTATGGCTACAGGGACAAAGTCACAATCGACAAATGTGGCTTATTACTGTAACAGTGCAGATGGGAGAAGAGGCAGCTTGCTGAAAAGAGGATGAGAAATAAAATGATAGTTATTCAGTTTCTAAATTTATACTCATCATAAACACAAATCATTATTTCCCCGTTGTGCTGATAACTTCCTTAGAGACTCTGTTCTTTATCTTGTATTACAGTTTTCTATAAACGTGTCCTTGAATTCTTTAAGGTCCATGTCTACTTTTCTTTGTATATGACAGTATATTTAATACAGTTTTTATGCTAAGTTTTTGTTGAATGAGAATGACTATTGAGGAATAAATACTCAGTTTTACCTTGTATTGAATGGAACCTTAGTAGAGTATTATTATTCTTACATGTTTTTTACTTCTGTTTTTAGTGGTATGCAATCTGTATTAGTGATGTTGGAGATTATGAAGGCATCAAGGCTAAAATTGCAAATGCCTACATTATCAAGGAGCATTTTGAGGTACTGATGAATTTTAAAAGGAATTAGTTTTTTAAATAAATTTCTGTTTCACTTATCTATTGCTGTAGAGCAAACCACCTAAAACTTAGAGGTCTAATGCAGTGACAGCTTATTTCTCAAAATTTTGTGGGTTAACTATGTAGTGGTGCTTCTGATCTGTTTGGTGTAGCTGAAGTCATTCATACTGCTGCCTTCACCTCTGACTTCAGCTAGAACAGAATGTACAAGATGGCCTCTTATATGACGGTTTCTCTCCACTTTTCTTTGCATTATTTAGTAGTCTAGCCCATGCTTCTTTATAGCATGGTAGCTGGCTTCCAGGAATGAACATTCCAAGATAAAATTCCAGTGCGCAAACTTTTATCAAGCTGCTTTCTGTTTTGCATCACACTTGGTAATATCCTGTGGACCTAAACAAGTCATGTAGCCAAGACCAGAGTATGTGGGAGGGAACTTTACAAGGTCCTGAATACCCTGAGGTGTGGTCTGGTGTAAAATCTAACACAATTGACAAACCACTCCCAATAATAATCGTACTATTTACAATTATTATCTCTGTGTATTTTGTGTTTTCATATTTTCCCCTAAAGTTACTTTTTTTCTTTTTTTTAAGATTTTATTTATTTGAAAGAGAGAGAGACACACAGCAAGAGAGGGAACACAAGCAGGGGGGAGTGGAAGAGGGAGAAGCAGGCTCCCCGCTGAGCAGGGAGCCCGATGTGGGGCTCGATCCCAGGACTCTGGGATCGTGACCTGAGCTGAAGGGAGATGCGCTACGACTGAGCCACCCAGGCGCCCCTAAAGTTACTTCTTTTATAGTAAGCTCTTCCTTAGATGCCAGATATTCTCCAGGAGTTTGTATATTTCATGATGTGCCATATACACTACCTCATTGTCCTAAACAAAACTAAACAAAAACTCCCGAAAAACTGCCACTAAAAATTCAGCATATTTATTTCTCTTTTGGTATTGTAGACCATCTCAAAAATACAGAAGAAGAGAATGTAATGGAAACATTCATAGGAAGAATGCTAGATAAACTAATAGCTTTTCTGAATTTTATGATTATAGTCTCAATTCTTATTTTACACAATGGGTAATAGAAGAGAACACTGGACTGGGAGTCAGGAGACCTAGCTTTTATTTTGGCATCAGTAGTGTATACACACACACACACACACGTATACGTGTGTATGCTGCATGTACATATATATTTTTCAATTTAATAATATGCAACATTTTTCACATTTTAAGACCTTTCTTGAAATCAGATTGCATTATATAATCAGTGGTATCTTATAATAGGCAATGCTTTTTTCTTTTCAATGATAGATATAATAATGATGTGTAGTAACTTTCATGTTATCTTAGATTCTGTGAAATGTCATAATTTGCTCAGTGGCATTAAATAAATCACCAAAGTTATTCTGTACCATAGTATGTAGAAATATATGACAAATATCTTCCAATATAAATCATGAAAAATTACAGAAATATATTAATGGAAACAGAGGTTATAGATTATTTTTTAAAAACCAATGTTTTCGGGCACCTGGGTGGCTCAGTTAGTTAAGCGTCTGCCTTTGGCTCAGGTCATGATCCCAGGGCCCTGGGATCGAGCCCCACATTGGGCTCTCTGCTCAGCAGGGAATCTGCTTCTCCTTCTGTCTGCTGCTCCCCCTGCTTGTGCTCTCTGTCAAATGAATAAATAAAATCTTTAAAAAAATCGATGTTTTACAGATTTCAAAGTGTGTTAAGTATACATTAAAAATGATATTTAGTATTTACATACTAAAAAGATCATTTGTACTGTTATTCCTAATTCCACTATTATATCTAAAGCCATAAGGAATTACTATTTTTGGATTGTTGTTGTTTTTAAGATTTTAAATAATCTCTACACCCAACATGGGGCTCAAGCATGGTTCACCGACTGAGCCAGCCAGGTGCCCCTATCTTTGGATTGTTTTTGAAAACACTTAAACTAATGGCAAGAATTATAAAAGAAAGGGTTTGCTTGAGAGCAGCCCCTCTCAACCCATTCCAGAAGAAAATTAAATTCCCTAAAGTATCCATTGCATGTTATGAATTAACTTCTCTCCCTTGCATCTAGAATGATACTAGCTCTATACCAATCTATACCTTGATAGATTGGAGAAAATAGTTATTCATATAATTTTTTGTAGGGTTTAATTTTATAGTGGAACTCCAATTAGGAAAGGTTGCTTAGTGTATAAGTTGTGTATACTTTAAAACATATTTTGCTATAAATCATATCACTATTTAATGGAAAAGTAAAAAAAAGTCAGTGCTGATTCTTACTCATATTAATGAAGCAAGATTTCTGCTAAGTCATACTTGGTTATTAGCCTTATTCTAGCTATTACCTCTACTACTGCTAACATTAAATCAGCGTCAGTAATAAATTGGTACTTTTGAAAAGTAAAATTATGCTGGTTATAGAAGATATTACTGTGTTAAATACCTCCTGTTACTTGCTCATTTAATTTTTACCACAACTCTATAATGTAGGTATATTACTCTTACCGATTCTATAAAACAGCAAACTCAGGCATGGCAAGAAGAGAGAACTTGCCAAGGTGAAAACTTGGAGCTGTGATTTGAACCCTGGTAGTCTGGCTTCAGAGTCCATACTGGTAACCAATACAAATATTTTAAAATGTGTATCTCACACATTACTGACTGAAAGTGAAGATGTGGGCTTTCGGAAAAACGTAAGATAGGAGGTCTCAATTTTTTTAAAAGGGTCTTTTATTGGGGCACCTGGGTGGCTCAGATGGTTGGGCGTCTGCCTTCGGCTCAGGTCATGATCCCAGGGTTCTGGGATCGAGTCCCGCATCGGGCTCCCTGCTAGGCGGGGAGCCTGCTTCTCC